ATCGATGCAAATAAATTAAGCCTGACCGCGGATGCACGATGCAAAATAACCGGAGACGCAGCACGCTGCGTCTGACGGATCACGCAATTTAACGGTTAGAGATTTAATCCGGGTAGCTATAAAAGCCATCGACGCACGGCCTATACGCAGTTAACGCAATTAAGACGGTCTCGAGGCATCGGGGACAATGCGGTGAATATGCAGAACATCGTCGCTGATTTCGTCGATTACTGGAGGCGATCGACGTCAAAAAGACAGAGATGATCATCACATTAAGCATAACGATTCAAACAAAAATTTGATCAACGACACTCAGGAATGAACCGAACGATGATGGCGACGTCTTCGCCGTAAGTCAGTTGTTTGCTGGTCAAAATAGACCTGAAGAAATGATGCGAACCCGTCATTGATTAAACTCCTCGAACCGGGTGACGTCAATTATCTCCTCAGTTACGTGGCCTTCTTTATCAGACCAGCGCTGATCAATGCAATGCAGCCTGGAATAAAATCAGCCGCGGACTTCAACTCGAACTGCGTTTAACACGACTGTTTACAAGCTCCAAGCTTCTGATTGCCGGGTTAAAAGTCAACGCATGTCAAGTGGCAAAAGCTTCAGGCAACAGGTTATCGAGGCTATCCACGCTCGCCAACGCATTGCACCGAAATCACCATTGCATATGCCCCAACTGACAGCCCACCTTTGATGACAGAAAGCCGCAACCGGTTACCCAGGCGGCAACGGTGATTGTCACCGAACAATACCGACCAACCCCGCTAAACGGCACCCGACTGCACCGCCACCGGTCGAATCGGCCAGACGGCTGACTTTCATGCCGGCGACAGCGCCCGACTCGAGAAGCCCCGACGCCGTGACGACCCAACCCAACGCCAGCATCCGGGTATTCCCCTTTATCGATGCGGCAATCCGGGGTGACGCAAGTTCATTGGCTGACCGACTCAAATGGCATCGGTGCGGTTCACAAGTCATTGCCCGTGACTGTCACCGAGACGAGGTGGTCAGTATATATGCGTTCTCAACAAAGCCGCATCGATTGGTCACATCAGGTCCGGCGAACACAACGATCATTGAACAATATGATCCTCTTTGAGTTCGCGAAATCCGTTATTTACGTACACAGCGACTAAGCTCACTTCAGTTCGTTGGTCAACGCACAATTCAAACGACGCGGCATAAAACCAGTAAGCAGCGGAATCTTTCAACACTCGGTCAATGAATCACTGAACTTCGGGATCACCAAACGCAATCAATGTCAAACGATTACGCATCACATTCCCTCCTCGCGGGCCCAGCCAGTTCAAATCGCGTTACGGTTCAGGCACGCACTTCCTGACCGGCTCAAGCAAGTGCCACCGCCAGTCAAAACGTCACCCAACGTCCGACAATATGTTTCAGGGGGCTACAGTAAATATACAGTGTTTCTTCCTCACATTTTACTGATGAGATTAGTCAGCATTTTAAATTGGACAGCATACAGAAATAATAAACAATTTTCAAAGTACTTTAGATATGAACCAAGAATCATTATATAATGCCTAATTCTCATTTGTTCAAGAACACACACATACCTCATTTAGATTCAGAGGGCAAAGTTTATTCATGTTTCCAAATGACTGCACTTTCTATGGAGGATTTGCATCACGTCCCAGGAAAAAGATCTGGTGTTTATTACTTGCATATACGCCTAATTTTACTTCAGCTTGTTGGAGTATTGCTACCAATCATCAATTAGGTGGTGTGAGTGTTGGGGAATTTCAGAGCACTCTGTATATTTTGTATATTTGAAGCATATTTATGAGACATTAGGTAGTAGTGTTATGGCTGCTGTATGTAGTCCGGGTGTTTCCTTTGTTTTCCTAGCCTAGATGTGACCTAAGATGCTTTTACTACTTAGTAGTCACAGAGGTGTCACAGCTAGTCTTGTTATAATTATGCCTGTTTGAAATTTGTATTGCACTTGGAGGGGAGAATGTAATGCACTTAATCATCTCATTTGACATTGATTGCAATTTTGAAGTGATCCAAAGTTCAATATTCATTGTAAGTGTTAGAAAAGATTCCCTTTAAACCTGGTTTATTTCCTCCCTGGAATGTTTGATGTACAACGTTGTGTGACAAGTAAACAAATCATATGTACATATCTGTTCCTGAATAAAGGAATCATATATTGGTATAAATAGTGTTGTGTTCACTTAGTTGAAAACCTGAGAGTCTTGTTAATGTTGAAATGCATCTGGTGACACAAGTGGGGAATTCTGTGCCTGTATACCAGTAGACCACCCCATCTGGTGAGAGAAGGTTGGTACTCGAATCCACAAGGCCATGGGTGAAAATGGCCTTATTTGTTATGACCACACAATGCCATTTAGAAAGTGGTCAAATGTAACGTGTTATTTTTTGGATTACACTTTATCAGTAAAGTACAGATTCTACTACTTTTGTTAGGTTGAGTCCCATCTGGCATCCGGAACTCTCAAGAGTCAGGCACCTATCAATCAATCAGCACACAAAGTCAGCCATCTAACCCATTCAGCCAGTGCGGGAGAGTGGGGCAATTAGGTGCCTGACTTTGAGGGTGTGGGGTTGAGACCTCGAATGTGACTCAACCAAACAAAAATACAGAATCTGTCCTGGTACTTTGTTGTTACCCTCTCTGATGCTCAGCATTAAGGGGATTGCAGCTCCCTGTCAGAATCACTGAGTGGGTTATCCAGTTGAACTTCTCTCCTAGTAGTGAAGTTCAGTGTGCTGGTAGATACGTCCAGGCTTGTATAAGTGCGTGAGGGTGCAAATAGAGCGTGATATATTGCGCCCTCCTCAGAATCAATGCCATATTTTCGCGCCACATTCCACTTAATACATTGCATTGTCAGTACCTTCGCCAACAATAGAAAGCCTTAGATACTGGCCTCGCTGGAAGTCATTGACTAAACACAGTTCAGGTTTAATGAAAATTCCACCAATACAGTTTATTCAAATACATTGCATTGTCAGCACTGGATACAATAGAAAACTACATACTGAAGTCATTGACGTCACAGTTCAGGTTTAATGAAAAATATTGATATAAAGGTTCACATATTTCTTCAAGTCTATTTTGGCTATACACGTGCTTCTCGGGCCCACAACGAAGAAGACGTCGCCAGTATCATGTTCCCGGGAGGACATTTGCACAAAATTGTGTTAGTCAATTTTGTTTTAAATTAATCGATATACTAAATATATTGGGCATCCATCTCCTGTCTTTGACATCCTTTGTCACACACCTCCAATGAAATCAGCAAAAGTCAAGGCAGCCTAGTCAATATTCCTACACCAATTCTCCTCACAATTGTCCAATACCTCAAGACCACGTCTCCAAACGTTCTTGCATGCACATTACCTCTCGACCACGTGTCCGACCGTTCTTGCACGTCCATTGCCTCCAGACAACGCCTTCTTGTATGCCCATTACCCCTAGACCACATCTCTAACCGTTCATGCATGTCCATCGCATCTAGACCACGTCTCCTGAACGTTCTTGCATGCCCATTGCATCTACACCACGTCTCCAACAGTTCTTGCATGTCCATTGCATCTACACCAGGTCTCCAGCCGTTCTTGCATGTCAATTGCATCTAGACCACTGTCTCCAAACGTTCGTGCATGTCCATTGCATCTAGCCCACGTCTCCTGCCGATCTTGCATGTCCATTGCATCTAGACCACGTCTCTAACTGTTCTTGTATGTCCATTGCATCTAGACCACGTCTCCAACCGTTCTTACATTCCACCAATACATTGCCTCCAACTGTCAGCACTGCCAACAATAGAAAACTGACGTCTCGCTGAAGTCATTGACTAAACACAGTTCAGGTTTAATGAAAATTCCACCACCTCTGTTTATTCAAATACATTGCATTGTCAGCACTGGATGCAATAGAAAACTACATACCCAGTCATTCTACGTCACAGTCTCAGGCCGTTCAATGAAAATGTTGCCCATAAAGATTCACATATTTCTTCAAGTCTATCTTGGCTATACATGTACTTCTGGCCCACAACTAAGAAGTCTTCGCCAGTATCACGTTCCCGGAGCACATTTCCAACTCGTTCTTTGTGTTAGTAAATTTTGTTTTAAATTAATCCTCGTATGGCTAATATAACCTATTATACGTCCTAACCGTTCTTGTATGTCCATTGCATCTACCCTACGTCTCCCTGCCGTTCGTGCATGCCCATTACATCTGTGACCACGTCTCCAGCCGTCCTCTAACCGTTCTTGACCACATGTCCATTGTATGCCCATTACCTCCCATGTCTCCTGCCATGTTTTTGCATGCCCATTACCGTTCCTGCATGTCACTCAAGACCACGTCTCCTGCCGTTTTTGTGTGCCCATTACCTCTAGACCACGTCTCCTGCCGTCCCCAACTCTAGACCACGTTCTTGTTTCTTGGTATGTCCATTGCATCTAGACTACGTCTCCAACCGTTCCTGCATGTCAATTACCTCTAGACCACGTCCCCAACCGTTCCTGCATGTCCATTCCTGCATCTAGCCCACGTCTCCTGCCGTTCTTCCACATGTCCATTGCATCTAGACTTCACGTCTCCTGCCGTTCTTACATGCCCATTACCTCTAAACCCACGTCTCCCGCCGTCTCCCGTTGCTTGCCCATTACCTCTCTAAACCCACGTCTCCGCCCATTACCTTCCTCAACCTGCATGCCCATTACCTCTATTACATCTCCTGCCGTCCGTGTAGTATGCCCATTATTATGACCACGTTTCCAACTGTTCTTGCATGTCCATTGCCTCCAGACCACAACTCTAACCGTTCTTGCATGCCCATAACCCCTGGTGAGACACGCCTCTAACCGTTCTTGCATGCCCATTACCTCTCAAGTCCCACACGTCTCCTGCCGTTCTTTGCACATGCCCATTACCTCTAAACTCCACGTCTCCCCACAATTCTAGCCGTCCTTTTTGCATGCCCATTACCTTGTGACCACATCTCCTGCCGTCCGTATGCCCATTACCTCTAGACCACGTCTCCAACCGTTCTTGTTGCCCATTGCCTCCAGACCACGTCTCCCTGCTTGCCTGTTCTTGTAGCCCCCGTCCATTGCCCATCCAGACCACATCTCTAACCGTTCTTGTATACCCATTACCTCTAGGACCACGTCTCCCCTGCCGTTCTTGTATGCCCATTACCTCCAGACCACAACTCTAACCGTTCTTGTATGCCCATTACCCCCAGACCACGCCTCTAACCGTTCTTGCATGCCCATTACCTCTAGACTACGTCTCTAACCGTTCTTGCATGCCCATTACCTCTAAAACCCACTGCCTCCCGCCGTTCTTGCATGCCCATTACCTCTAGACCACATCTCCTGCCGTCCGTGTATGCCCATTACCTCTAGACCACGTCTCCAAACGTTCTTGCATGTCCATTGCCTCCGGTGACCACAACTCTAACTGTTCTTTGCATGTCGATTGCATCCAGACCACTGCCTCTGACCGTTCTTGTATGCCCATTACCTCTAGACCACGTCTCTCCAAACGTTCTTGCCGTCCCATGCCCATTGCCTCTTAGACTACGTCTCTAACTGTTCTTGCATGCCCATTACCTCTAGACCACGTCTCCAAACGTTCTTGCATGAGCATTGCATCTAGACCATCTGTCTCAAACGTTCTTGCATGTCTATTGCATCTAGACTACTGTCACGTCCCAACCGTTCTTGCCATGCCCATTGCATCTAGACCACGTCTCCAACGTTCTTGCATGTCCTCTAAACCACGCGTCTCCAACCGTTCTTGTTACATGTGCATTACCGTTCTAGACTACGTATCTGCTCCACGTCTCCAACCGTTCTTGCATGTCTATTGCATCTAGACCACGTCTCCAACCGTTCTTGCCATGTCCATTGCATCTGTGACCACGTCTCCAACCGTTCTTGCTGTGCCCATGACCTCTAAACCTACCTCTTCTTGCATGACCTCTAGACTACGTCTCCAACCGTTCTTGCATTGCCCATTACCTCTAGACCACTGACCCAACCGTTCTCCCCATTACCTCTTAAACCTAGAATGTCTCCCCGTCCTTGCATGCCGTTCTTGCATGTCTCCGTGTTGCATCTAGACCACGTCTCCAACCGTTCTTGCATTGCCTCTCCAGACCCACGTCTATTGCATGCCCATCTAGACCCTATAACTGTCTCCAACCGTTCTTAGACTACTGCCCTGTGCCCCATTACCTCTAGACCACGTGTCTCCAGCCGTCCTGCATGCCCTCACCTTCAGACCACATCTCCTCCCGCCATACCCATTACCTCTAGACCACGCCCGCCGTTCTTGCTTGCCCATTACCTCTAAACCTACGTCTCCAGCCGTCCTTGCATGCCCATTACCTCTAGACCACATCTCCTGCCGTCCGTGTATGCCCATTACCTCTAGACCACGCCCCAACTGTTCTTGCATGTCCATTGCCTCCAGACTACAACTCTAACTCGTTCTTGCATGCCCATTACCCCCAGACCACGCCTCTAACCGTTCTTGCATGCCCATTACCTCTAGACCACGTCTCCTGCCGTTCTTGCTTTGCCCTTGCCCATTACCTCTAAACGTCTCCACGTCTCCCAGCCGTCCTTGCATGCCCATTACCTCTAGGACCACGTCTCCTGCCGTCCGTGCATGCCCATTACCTCTCGGACTAGACCAGACCACGTTTCCCAACCGTTCTTGCATGTCCATTGCCTCCAGACCACACTCTAAGCCGTTCTTGCATGCCCATTACCCCCAGACCACGACTCCAACGTTCTTTGTATGTGCATTACTCTAGACCAACCAAAACGTTCTTGCATGGTGTTCCATTACCTCTAGACCACACTCACCTCCCCAACCGTTCTTGCATGTTCATGTATCTAGACATTACCTCTTGCATGTCCATTGCACTAGACTAAACCGTTCTTGCATGTCCATTGCATCTAGACCCACGTCTCCCGCCGTTCTTGCATGCTCATTACCTTGTGACCTCTCCAACCGTTCTTGCATGACCCATACTTAGACCACGTTCCAACCGTTCTTGCATGCTCCATTACCTCTAGACCACGTCTCCAACCGTTCTTGCTTGCATGCCCATTACCTCTAAACCCACGTCTCCCCCCGTCCTTGCATGCCCATTACCTCTAGACCACATCTCCTGCCGTCCGTGTATGCCCATTACCTCTAGACCACGCCTCCAACCGTTCTTGCATGTCCATTGCCTCCAGACCACAACTCTAACCGTTCTTGCATGCCCATTACCCTCCAGACCACGCCTCTAACCATTACCCTAGACTACATCTCTGCCGTTCTTGTATGCCCATTACCTCTAGACCATTGCCTCCAACCGTTCTTGCATATGCCCATTACCTCTAAAACCCCTGTGACGCGCCTCCGCCGTTCTTGCATGCCCATTACCTCTGTGACCACATCTCCTGCCGTCCGTGTATGCCCATTACCTCTAGACCACGTCTCCAAACGTTCTTGCATGCCCATTAGACCTCCCTCCTGACCGTGTACAACTCTAGACTACGTCTCTTGCATGCCCATTATTACCTCTAGACTCGTCATCTCCTGCCGTCCGTGTCCGTGTATGCCCATTACCTCTAGACCACGTTCCCCAACCGTTCTTGCATGTCCATTGCCGCCCAGACCACAACTCTGCTGTTCTTGCATGCCCATTACCCTCCAGACCACGCCTCTAACCGTTCTTGTATACCCATTACCTCTAGACCACGCCTCCAACCGTTCTTGTATGCCCATTACCTCTAAACCCACGCCTCCCGCCGTTCTTGTAGATGCTCATTACCTCTAGACCACATCTCCTGCCGTCCGTGTATGCCCATGCCCTAGTCCGTGTATTATGCCCATTACCTCTTAGACCACTGCTCCAAACGTTCTTGCATGCCCATATCCTCCAGACCACAACTCTAACCGTTCTTGCATGCCCATTACCTCCAGACCACGCCTCTAACCGTCTTTGCATGCCCATTACCTCTCCAGACCACGCCGCTCTAACCGTTCTTGCATGTCGATTGCGCCAAGACCACGTCTCTGGACTGTTCTTGCATGAGCATAACCTCTAGACCACGTCTCCAAACGTTTTGCATGTCCATTGCATCTTAGACCACGTCTCCAAACGTTCTTTTTGCATGTCTATGGCATCTAGACCACGTCTCCAACCAGTTCTTGCGTGTCCATTGCATCTAGGCCACGTCTCCAACCGTTCTTGCATGTGCATTACCTTCTAGACCACGTCTCGCAACGTTCTTTGCATGTCTATTGCATCTAGACCACGTCTCCAACCGTTCTTGCATGTCCATTGCATCTAGACCACGTCTCCAGCCACAGTCTTGCATGAGCATTACCTCTAGATCCTGCCGTCTCCAACCGTTCTTGTGACATCTGCATTACCTTTAGACTACGTCTCCAACCGTTCTTGCATGTCTATTGCATCTAGACCACGTCTCAAAACTGTTCTTGCATGTCTATTACATCTAGACCACGCCTCCCAACCGTTCTTGCATGAGCATTACCTTCTAGACCACGTCTCCAACCGTTCTTGCATCTGCATTACCTCTAGACCACGTCTCCAACCGTTCTTCCATGTCCCGTTGCATTGAGTGACCACGTCTCAAACCGTTCTTGCATGTGTACTACCTCTACCTCTAGACCACGTCTCCAAAACGTTCTTGCATTTCCATTGCATCTAGACCATTGTCCCAACTGCTCTTTGCATGAGCATTACCTTCTAGACCACGTCTCCAACTGTTCTTGCATGTGCATACCTCTAGACCACGTCTCCAAACGTTCTTGCATGTCCATTGCATCTAGACCACGTCTCCAACCGTTCTTGCATGTCCATTGCATCTAGACCACGTGTCTCCAACCGTTCTTGCATGAGCATTACTCTCTAGACCACGTCTCCAACCGTTCTTGCATGTGTGCATTACCTTCTAGACCACGTCTCCAACCGTTCTTGCATGTCCATTGCATCTAGACCTTTCGTCTCCGAACCGTTCTTGCATGTCCATTGCATCTAGACGCATGCCTAAACTGTTCTTGTATGTCCACAGCATCTACCCCCACGTGTCCAACTGTTCTTGCATGTCCATTGCATTAAGTAGCCCAATGTCTCCTGTCGTTCTTGCATGCCCATTACCCTAGACTACTGTCTTACTGTCGTTCTTGCATGTCCATTGCATCTACCCTACGTCTCTACTGTCTCTCTGCTGTTCTTGTATGTCGATTACCCCAAGACCACGTCTCCTGCCGTTCTGCAAGGCCCTAGCTGCTTCTAGGACAACGTTCCACGTCTCCGCCCATCCGTTTTGCTAGACCATTACCTCTAGACTACTGCTCCTGCCGTTCTTGCTTGCCCATTACCTCTGGAACCCATCGTCTCCAGCCGTCCTTTTTGCATGCCCGATACCTCTAGCCACATCTCCCCGCCGTCCGTGTGTATGCCCATTACCTCTAGACCACGTCTCCTGCCGTTTTGCATGCCCATTACCTTCTAAAACCCACGTCTCCAGCCGTCCTTGCATGCCCATTATCTCTAGACCACATCTCCTGCCGTCCGTGTATGCCCATACCTCTAGACCACGTCTCCAACCGTTCTTGCATGCCCATTGCCTCCAGACCACTTCTAGCGTTCTTGCATGCCCATTACCCTCCAGACCACGCCTCTAACCGTTCTTGTATACCCATTACCTTCTAGACCACGCCTCCAACCGTTCTTATGCCTCCATTACCTCTAAACCCACGCCCTCCCGCCGTTCTTGATGCCCATTACCTCAAGACTACATCTCCTGCCGTCCGTGTATGCCCATTACCTTAGACCACGCCCCAAACGTTCTTGCATGCCCATATCCTCCAGACCACAACTCTAAGCGTTCTTTGCATGCCCATTACCTCCAGACGCTCTCTAAACGTTCTTGTATCGCCCATTACTCCTAGTTAACCGTTCTTTGCATGCGCCAAGACCATTCCTGACCGTTCTCTAGACCCTCTAGACGTCTCCAAACGTTCTTGCATGTCCATTGCATCTAGACCACGTCTCCAAACGTTCTTGCATGTCTATTGCATCTAGACCACGTCT